ACTAAAACGTATTAGCAAGAAGAAAACGAGTGATCCCATCTCAGGGTGGGCAAGGGACTTGGAGAGAAATTTCTCTGAAGAAGATCGGCGCACGGCCTACAGATATATGAAAAAGTGCTCACCATCCTTAATCATCTGAGTATATTTTTAAACCAATAACTGCTCTCATACAGACAATGTAGATTTGAGAACATAGTTAACATGAGTTGAACATAATGACTATACGTTATTAAGTATTCTCAGGAAGATTAATGATTGCCTACTTTGGTATCCAGCATGAAAGAGTTTGTTGTAAATAGAACATAGTGAGTTTTAATTGTTATTCATTTCCATTCTTTTCTTTCTCACAAAAACACAAAATAAAACAACCACAAATATTTATAACAGTAAAAACCAAGCAACTTATTACCTAATACTTGTAAAGTCAGATCATCTGCCGTAATGCTGCCTGATGGATATTTCTATCAATATGAGCTTCAGGGAAAGAAAAACTGGAAAGATCGCCTTGAACTTCAGTCTTGTGCTGTGATTAAACACTGCTAGGAGCTTTACCTTGACCTATAAGTTCTCTCCTCAGATACCAAAGTCTATGGCAAGACTGCTTCCTTGAGCTCTTATTTCCTAACGATGCCATTTGTATTTCCTGGTGAGAACATTATTAAAATAGTCCCCAGGATTAAAGGTTATTAATATTCCCACTCTTGTGCCCAGCTGAACGCACGTGCACCTCTGGTAAGGGCACTCTTCTCCTGGAGCACAGCCATCTCAAGTGTGCAGAATGTCTGAGGTATAAGAACTTTTCTATTAATATCTACTTCAAATGTTATCTTCCTTATCTTCAGGCCATTTCCATGTCTACATAGGAGATTTAGAATAATTTCCTTCCTCCATTACATTTTGTTCCTTGAAGGTATTTTATAATCAAAGTACATGTTCTTCTTTCTTTCTGAGGTTTCCTTGTTTCAGGCAAAATGCATTAAGTCTCTCTAGTCTAATCCTCTGGATCTTGTGTTATGCCACTTGTCTCTTGAATAGTCTTAGCATGGAGATGAAAAAGGAACTAGGAGTAAGAACCAGAATGGTTGTAGTATTCCTCTCCTGATCCTGTATTCAATGGTTAAAAGTCCTCTAATGTTTGAATAAAGATTTGGAAACCTAGATGCTACAGAAAATATTACGAAAAATAGATCATTGAAATTTTATGCATGTGATTTAAACCTTCCTATAAAAATAACCAAATCACTACCTCTTTGACTTATAGTAGCTGTCATTATAAATCTTCATTTTTCCTGTTATACACTACAACAGGGACCATAAATGTCTGGCAACGCATGTGCTAGCCGAGAGAGACCTTTCATTTTTCTTCCTTTCTTTTCCTACTTATGCCTTTATTTACTCTTCTTTAGAATCTACATTTTGGTTCGTAGCAGTGTCATCACATTTTGATTTGAAGTTCTAGCATTTAATCTTTAATACCTCTTGCAAATATGTTTAATGTAGATTCATAAAAATTCAATTAGCATATCATTATTAAAGAAGAAAAAGTAAAAAGAGAAAAAGCAAGTTTTAGTGTGTTTAGTTTAGATTACAGACTTTGTTAAAGTGTATAATCGGTAGTAATTTTTAAGGATAATTTAGTTATTAATTTTTCAGTGGTCCATAAGTTTAGTTTTCCTTGTTTTCTGACACATTTGATTTTTTAAAGGTAATTATTTCCAGAAAGATCTGTCTTTAGGTAGGGACAATATTATTCTAAAGTTGTATGGAAAACCAAAAGAACTAGAATAGTGAGAACAATTTTGAAAACAAAAAATCAAGTGGGAAGAATAAATTTCCCCAAGGTTAGGACTTATTAGATAGCTACAATAGTCAAGACAATTTATTATTATAAGAACAGACACAAAGATCAAGGGAATAAAAAAGAGAAATCAGGACTAGACCCCCACATATATATCCTGCTTTGACCAAAGTCCAAAAGAAATTCAATAGGGCAGTTTGACATCCAAAGGCAAAAAACAATGAAGCTCAATCTAAAATTCTCACCTTATACAAAAATTCACTAGAAGTGATCATGGACTTAAATGCAAAACTATACAACTTTTAAGAAAAAAAATAAAGGAAATTCATTGGGATCTAGAGCTAGCCAAAGAGTTCATAGACCTGACTATGAATTCCAAAAAGCACAATTCCTAAAAGGAAAAATCAACAAATCAGATTTCATCAAAATTAAGAACATTTGCTCTGCAAAAGACTCTTTTAAGAGGATGAAAAGACAAGCTACAGGGCGGGAGGAACATTTGCAAATATATCAAACAAAGGGCTATTATGTAGAATACATAAAGTACTCTTGAAACTCAACAAACAAAAAATTCAAAACTCCAATTAGAAAATGGAAAAAAGACATGAAGAGCCCTGTCACCCAGAAGAGTCTACAGACAGACACGTTCAACACCATTTCTAGGAGGAAAATGCAACTTAAAACTATAATAAAGGTGTCACCACAGACACATCAGAATGGCTAAAGTAAAAAATGGTGACAACATCAAATCTAACAAAGATGAAGAGAAACTGGATGGCTTATATATTGGTAGTAAAAATAGAAAATGTTATAGCTACTCTGGAAAGCAGCTTGGTAATTTCTTCAAAACCTAAATACACAAATACCATACTAGCCAGTACTTACCCTTTTGGGCATTATCTCAGAGAAATGGAAACCAAGCTCACATGAAAAATGGTATGCTAATCTCAGCAGGCTTATTTGTAATAACCCCAAACTAGAAACAACCCAGATACTCTTCAACAAACTGTGGATTGCCCATACTATGGAATACTACTCAACAAAAGGAACAAGCTATTGATACATCCTACAACAATATACAGAGTATTACTCTGAGTTTTAAAAGGCAATTCTAGAAGGCAACACACTGCATGATCCCGTTTATGTAGCATTCTTGAAATGACAAAATTATTGAAAAGGAAAACAGATCACTGGTTGCGTGGAGTGAAGGAGGGAGCAGATGTGAGAGAAGGAGGTGAGGCTGTAAGAGGGCACCATGAGGGATCCTTGTGGAGATGGAAGTGTTCATTATCTCCACTGTGTCCATATCAAGATTCTGACTGAGATAGTGAGATACAGTTTTGTAGAATGTTGTCATTGGTGGAAACGGGGAAAGGGTCCACATCCTCTCTCAGTACTGTTTCTTACAACTCCATGCGACTCTGCAGTTATCTCATAATAGGGCGGGTAGGAGGGAAAGCAGGAGGGAGGAGGATGGGGTTACATGTATGGCACACCTCGTGGGGGCAGAACACAACTATAAAAGGGACTTTACCTAACAAATGCAAACAGTATAACCTAATTCTTTGTACCCTCAATGAACCTGAACAATTTTAAAAAAAAGAAAGAGAAAGAAAAGTTTAATTAAAATGTTGCATCAGCAAATTATAAAGATAACCCATTGAAATAAGAGTAGGACCTGCAAGATGTTTACTTTCCCTCTGGGTTTCTCACCACCAGGTTTGCGAGGAGCGATTGCATTTGCCTTGGCTATTCGGAACACAGAATCTGAGCCCAAGCAGATGATGTTTACCACCACGCTGCTCCTCGTGTTCTTCACTGTCTGGGTATTTGGAGGAGGAACCACTCCCATGCTGACTTGGCTTCGGATCAGGTGAGTGGCCCTGTGTAGCAAAAGCCATCTCTGCGAGTCATGGCTGTAATGTTCCATTTCTGACATTCTGATGTAGTCAGCAGTACAAGGGCAGGTCTGTACCCTAACTTCCCCTGGAGTCAAGTTGACCTTCACTCACATGGTAAAAGGATATGACCCAGCACCAACCGAACTGACTTTTCCAAGAGTCTTAGAGGTCTTATGATGTCTATTTACAGTCTGTCCCTAGAAATGAATGTATTCATCTATCCATTCTTTCATTCAACAGTATTTATTCAATACAATGTGCTATGCCATGGAGTTTACAAAAATAAATATGACACAGGTCTTGTCCTCCAGCTCGCAGTCTCATAGGATTGATAATAGGAAAAGTTGTAATACCAAGGAGAAGGTGAATTTGCTTTGTTTTTAATTCTTTGCAGCCCTTACGATAGAAACAGGGACAGAGGGAATGCTTAAACATATGTGGTTAGTGAGCCATGTGCTTAGCCAGAGGGATGCTATAGGCACAAGTTAGATATTTTCTTACAGGAAAAGGGGGTCAAGGCTTCAATCAGAGGCCTTCCAGGGAGCAGTGCCTAGATGATGACTGTTAGGAACTTGAGGTGTGGAGGGAGCAGGAGACCGGGGGACATGGATGGCTGGTGCCAACTGCAATGTGGAGAAATCTATTTTAGGATGTTGTTGTCCTTATTTAAACATTCCTATGACCTGAGTCCTCATTTTCACAGTCCAGAAAGTAACAACCATACTTTACACAAATCACAATGTATTTCTCAAATCCACCCCTCCCATGCTGTCCCTCCCTGGTCCCCACCTATTCTTGTAAGACAAATTCACACCTACCACACCTGATGGGAAAAGATCCATCTGACTGGAAAATAATTCCCAAGAAGAGTCTTACAGACAAGGACTCTGGTATTCTAGCCCCTAGTATGTGCCTGGCACATAGTAGGATAGAATAAATAATTCATAAAAGTTAAGTAAGCATAACCGCAAATATAAATGCTTTTGTTAAGCATTAACTGATAATTTTCCATTCATTTGACATGAAGTAGCAGAAGCAGGTCTCATAAGTTTAGCATAAGAAAGCTTATGCTTAAATCAGGCCAAGTGACTATGTATTAAACTAAATTCAAGGAAAAAGGGGGCCTCTTGAAGTACTGGGAATATTGCTAAACACATAAAAGAGCTTTGACTAAAGGTGAATAGAGAGTGCTTTGAGATGCTTGTTGAATTATTTTCTAAGCATATAAATGTGACTCGCAATTTCTTTCACAGTGGTAGTTACCTGTAGGCGCCTATGGATGAGTACACATATTGCATTAAACTCGATAGCACTAAGTCCCCTGTGAACTGTTAGTAAGACAGCGATGTGTTCAGGTTTCTGGAAAATAAAATTCAGTAGGTGGATCCATGCATGGAAAAATGAGTGCTTGGAGAGCAAAACTTAGATGATGCCGATCCCCACCAGGTAAGAGTATTGCATACACTATCAGGCAAGTTAGAATATTCAGAATATAATGTAGTGCTGTCAACATTTTCTTAAAGTAATCAAACAGAAATTGTTTTCTGCTGTTTCTTCTTTTACCCTGAAGAAATTGTCCCCAAATCAGTAACACATTTCATACTAGAATGTTTATCCAACTCTTCTATAAGTATTTTCCGAAGGCATCTATCTGTTAACTTCAAATAGGTCTTATAACTTATGTAGCCTCTTGGTATCAAATTCAGCAGGGAGATAGAAGTATGATAACGGGACTTTCAGCAGGTTAGGACAATTATCTAGGTCCTAGGACAGGGCCTAACAAGGAAGGACAGTGATGTCAACCACAGCATCCAGGGTTGAGATTCCTGAAGGTCAGCCCAGGCCAGTCTGCTGGGAGCACTAGATAGGGTTACCAGGTCATGGAAATGCCCCAGTGGGAATTGGCTCCAGATGGCCCAAGTGATGCAGTGTCAATTTGGCCACCAGTCAGGACAGGAAATGAGAACGATAGGAATGTGATACCCTTAGAGAAAGGAGCTGACAGGGCTTTTATCTAGTGGGCAAGTGACCATCTCAGCTAAGAACTAGAGCATAAATCTGAAATTAGGGCAGAAACCCAGTCAGCAGACCAGTGATCCATTGACAAGGATACTAAAGGATAAAAACTGGAGTACAAAGAGACGTGGGTGCCCAGGAAGTTAACACAGGCAGACAGGGTACAAGGCAACAAGGACACATTAAGACCAGTGGCTCCCAAACTTGAGTGAGCATCATAACCACCTGGAGGGCTCATTGAAACCCAGATTGCTGGACTTCTGCCAGAGTTCCTGATCCAATAGGTCTTGGTCAAGACTTGAGAATTTGCATTTCCACCACATTCAGGAAATGCTGGTGCAATTGGTCCTAGGGCCAAACTGCTGGTGTAGACTTCCTATCCCCTAGTGGAGATCAGGTAAATACTGTCAGATTTGACCGGGGTCTCCGAGGCCAGGCACACCTACGTGGGCCGTGTTGATTCCTTAGTTCCAGTACTAAAGGAAGAGAGGGGCTTACTTAAGAGGAAGGAGCACTGTGCATTGATCAGTGGGAAGGAAATAGGCCCTAATAAGCTTTAAAGAGCAGAACATAAGTTAGTGTGTTTACGAACACACACACAAGTGCATGACATTAGTTTGGTTCAACTACGTTACAGTGATAACCATCATATGCTCTGCTTCCCTGTCATGGTTTATAATGTTATCAAAGAAATTCTTCAGCATAGATTTTAAGCCCATAGTTGCTTATCTCTTACTTAGACTGTATTTAGCAAGGCTTTGCTTGTTTACAGAGTAACATTTTACTAACCAACTTTCATGTCAGACTCTTCCCATAAATAACAAAAAATATATAAATTAAAATTTTAATAAAATGACATAAATGAGGAAATCCCGGGGACAGGAATGCAAATGTGATTTTGAATGAACCCAAACATCTTCATGTAGAATGTGATTTGTTTATACACATTACATGGCATTCCCCTCTTGAGCCTATACTTTTTCTCTTAAATTATTAGACATGTACTGAGTTGGTTTTTGTAATCCCTATGAAATGTGTCATTTAGCCACAAATTCCCATAGTAAGGATGTGAATAAAATGTTTTATATAAGGTAAAAATTAACAGTTTAATATGAATTGCAATTTGATGGAAATGACTTTAAAATAGCAATACTCCTATTCTTGGGTTATGCAAAATAACATTTACATGTGGAACAAATTCTCGATTAAGTGGTGTTTTCTCCTAAGTACCATTCAAATTTCTTGTCTAGGCCAGGAGTGGTGGTCTGTGTCTACAATCCTAGCACTCTGGGAGGCTGAGGCAGGTGGATTGCCTGAGTTTAGGAGTTGAAGTCAAGCCTGAGCAAGATGACATTTCTACTAGAAATAGAAAAAGCTAGCTGGGCATTGTGGTAGGTGCCTATAGTCCCAGCTTCTTAAGAGGCTGAGGCAAGAGGATCACTTAAGCCCAGGAGTTTGACGTTACTGTGAGCAATGATGCCATGGCACTCTCCCCAGGGTGACAGAGAAGGACTCTGTCTCAAAAACAAACAAAAACAAATTTCTTCACCTGAAGATATTTAATTTTCTTTTAAAAAATAATAATAAATGCAGCACTCGAAATAAATCAGACCTTTGTTTCATAAAATTCTAGAGAAAAAGACTTTCCAGCATTATGTTAGAGGATTCCATATAAAAGAAAATAGAATAGTTTCTTGATTGGAATCCAGATCATCTCCCTTCTGGGGAATACACTAATACTGGTGGTGAGGAAAACCCAGCTAGCATTGCCGGTAGCCAGGAAACAAAAAGGATCAAAGGTGCCAGACTTTGCACTTCAGAAGCCAGTAAACAGGATCATCAACCAAATGATCACACGTACTTACAAATAAACATCAGAGACCAGCAAGGCAGAGCTCTATGGCAGTGGCACCAGATAATTAGCTTACAGATGATAACCTCCATCCTTGGTTAAGGATAGGGTATCACAAGGAGCTAACAAACTTTGGGCAAGAACATCACATGAGGATGAAGCCCACAATGGGCTCTCCTGGGCTCTCTCTCCTAGCCCTCTCCTGGGCTTCCCAAGATAAGAATGTTGGACCCATCTCTTCAAAATGTCTGAGCTACAGTGTGGAAAATCTTAAATAACAGAATTATAAAAAACTTGTCTCCCAGATGGCATTAGAAAGTGCCTTCAAAGAGATGACCACTATAGTTTGCAAATTTTAGCCTCTAAACACTGTAACAATAATAGCCAACTTGTTTTTTTTTAATTTAGTTTTGAATTAAATCACAACTGTATACATATATGGTGTACAATATGGTGATATGATATACAATGTGAAATGCTTGAATCAAACTGATTAACTTAACCATCACTTCACTTATTTTTTGTGGTAAGGCATTCATAATTCACTCTTGGTTATTTAAAATATACCCTTGCATTATTCGTATTAGGTGACTATACCAACATATATCCCACCAAATGCCTTCCCTCCTCCCACCAATCACCTTATCCCCACCCCATCTTTTCCCTTCCCCCTTGTTAGTCTATATTTGTGTTTTATTATTCATATGAGAGTGTGTTTATATACTGGTTTCATAATAGTATTGAGTATATTGGGTACTTTTTTCCCCATTCTTGAGATACTTTACTACAAAGACTATGTTCCAACTCCATTCAGGTAAACATAAAAAATGTAAAGTCTACATCTTTTTATGGCTGCATAGTATTCCATGGTATACATTTACCACAATTTGTTGATCCATTCATGGGTTGATGGGCATTTGGGTTGCTTCCATGACTTAGCAATGATGAATTGAGCTGCAGTAAACATTCTGGTGCAAATGTCTTTGTTGTAAAATGATTTTTGTTCATCTGGGTAGATACCTAGTAATGGAATTGCAGGATCAAATGGAAGGTCAACTTTTAGTTCCTTGAGAATTCTCCATGCTTCTTTCCAAACAGGCAGTA